AGTTTCTGTTTGATTGTTCATTAATAAAGGACTTTGTTGTACTTCACAAGCCAGCTAAAGATCATTTGTGGTGGAAAACCTGAGAACTTCTCCTTGGGCCCCCTGGCTTCCCGCTGGGCAAAGATTGCACGTCCTGTCTTAAAGGAAATTCTTTACAGGCCCTGCACGCAACAGAACACCCTCTGAAACCCCCTTGCAGCCCCCCAAGGGGTCCCAATCCCCAGGTTGAGAAACACTGCCCTATTGGGTATATGCCAGAGGCAGGGAACAGCAGTTGGCAGGTCAGGAGGCAGAATTTGGCTATGCCTGGTGTCTGAGGGAAGAACCTGGCAAACAGCAGAGTAACAGCCCAAGCAGGATGGCTTGGATTTTGCATGTCTCCCTGAAATGTCACACCTTTTCCAGAAGACGTGAAAGGAGAGACTTATAATTTAGCATTTTATTTAAAAAATATACCAGTTATTATGAGAAGCTTATGCCAAAGTGAGTTCCACGCATATATTGTAGTAAATGGCATAGAGTCTTCATAAACTAAATGAAGCAAAAGTGCTAAGAATGGAAACAAATGGAGCAAAAACACTTTCCATTAAGTCACCACCCTGGCTGGAGGATTACTGTATATTTGCCTCTGCAATGGTCTTAAATTTACCTTTAAATGGCTTGGCTTTGGACAGAGCAAGAGGTAATAGCCTAGTGGATAGCTACTCTCTGAGGCTACACTGGTAGGGAGGGTAGGGATACCATCAGAACTCAAAAATCACTGGGGGAATTGGCACCAAATTTGGACACAATACACCTAACAACCCAATGTATGTTCTCCACTCAACCCCCCCCCCCAAAAAAAACACTTCTCCCTCCCTCCCCCCACCCCCCTTAGAAAGATGTTCAACTGTAAGCCTCAGGGAGGGAGGGGGAGGGAAGGAGTGCACGTGCATGGCCAGCAGCGAGTGCACATGCCCAGCAGGCTCCCGTGGAGGCCCTCCCTTCAGGAGCTGGAGGAAAAGCCCTCATCCCCGCAGGCCTGCTACCCTGTCACTATCCTTTACATCAAGGGTCCTCAAACTATGGGGTGTGGAGAAAGGTGAGTCCCCCCCCCCAAGAAGTGCTTCCCCAGGCAGCAGCACTCCGGCAGGTGCAGAGTAGGCAGGGCTTCCTCCTCCTCCTCTTCCAAGGAGTAAACTTGCAACTGAAGGAAAGGAGGGATGGGGGGCACATTAGGAGCTGAGGGGAAATAACAAACAAAAAGAGGTAAACAACACTTTAGATTTACTTTGTGCCTTCACTCTGCAGCAATGTCCTTCTTTTTTGGATTCTCCATGCTCCAACATATCGGAGGAAGCAGCAGCAGCAAAAGAGGCAGAGAGAGAGAGAGACTTAGAAGGGACTCTACCATGGTATTGGGGGAGAACAGAGAGGAAGAAAGGAGAGAAGAAAGGAGGGAGGGAAAAAGGGAAAGACTGAAGGAGGGAAAAGGGGAGGGAAGGAAGGAAAGAGAAAGGGAAGGAGGGAAAGAAGGAAGGAGAGAAGGAAGGAAAGAAAGAAGTACCAAAGGAAGGAAGAAGAAAAGTAAAAAGGAAAGAAAAAGGGAGGGAAATGCAGGAAAGAAGTAAAGAAGGAAGGAGAAAAGGAAATAAAAAGTGAAAGAAGGAAGGAAACAGGGAGGGAAGAAAGGAGACAAAGGAAGAAGTAGAGAAAGGGGGAGAAAAGGAAGAAAAGAGAGAAGGAAGGATTAAACCAAAGAGCGAAAGAAGGAATGAAAAAAAAGAGGCAGAGAAGGACGAAAGGAGAGAAAGGGGAAGAAAAAGGGGGAAAGGAATAGGTAGGTACCTCTCTTTCATAATAGTCCAGATATCTACCTCTACTTTGAAAATTCTTACTATAGGCCACAGCAACACGTGGCAAGGCACAGCTAGTATATAGCAATAAACAAAGATCTAAGAATTAAGTTTGCCAAGACTCAGGAGCTGAGCGAATGTGTTCAGTTTCCTTTTCATCAAAGATAGGTACATGGCAAAGATGGTAAAGTCAGTTTTGCCTCCTCTGTGGGTAACACCATTGGACTTGCTGGAAACTACAAATTATATTTCAGACAACTGATAATTTCCAGATTTCTCCTGGTTTTAGGCCACTATTTGCCAACCAAAATGGGCATCTGGACTCTTCCCAAAGTCATTTCTAATCATATGTTCTGAAAACATATGAAGTGCCCCAAAGAACCCCCAAGGGCCTGATATCACCTATGGACCAATCCTCACTACAGTTTTTCACATTCTCTGAAAGAAATTGATAAATCAGTAGCAAGAGGGAGGTAAGGCTGGAGCTATTTTAACAGCTCCAACTCTCAGCCCTTTCCTTCTGTTCTAAGCATTAGCTCCCATCCCATTCTCAGTATTTTCTTACAGCCCTGTTTTCCTCTTTGGGAGACCAAAATAAGAACACTCTATCTCCCAGAAATGACAAAGTAGTAACAACTCCCATATATCAGAAAGGGAGCAGCTCTACAGAACTCACTTCATCCAAGACACAACATTCTGCTCCAACTTGCCATTGCCTTGAGAAAGTAGCACTGAAGGGAATACTCTGGCCTTCACTATGAACTAGAGGCTGCAAAAAGAACACAATGGAGAGACCTTCACTGTGTAAGAGCTTTGTTACTAGAATCCAAGCATCTTTTCCTCTTCTTCCTTCAAATCTCATTTACTTACTTACTTAGGTGATTCCTCGTAGTCAGAGGATGATGGTCCTGAGGCTACACAAACTGGACAAGCAGAAGCCAAGGCTCTTACACTGTTTTCGCTGAATTGGGCCCTATCTACACTGCAATGTACTTACTTACTTAGGCGAACCCTCATTGTCCGAGTAGGATTGTCTTCCAAGATTAGTGTCCTGGCGGTGGGTCCATAGGTGACTGTGGAGCCCTATTCTTGATCTGCATGTTCTCCCATAGCAAGGGCATTGGTTTCCAGGTGGAAGGTGGTCCTGGTTGGGGTTGGCTTGATGCACCTTCCTCTTGGCACTTCTCTCTCTTTTGCCCTCCATTCGTGCCTCTTCAAATTCTACAGCACTGCTGGTCACAGCTGACCTCCAACTGGAGTGCTCAAGGGCCAGGGCTTCCCAGTTCTCAGTGTCTATGCCAGAGTTTTTAAGGTTGGCTTTAAATCTCTTTTCTTGTCCTCCGACATTCTGTTTTCTGTTCTTAAGTTTGGAATAGAGCAGCTGCTTTGGGAGATGGTGGTCAGGCATCTGGACAATATGACTGGTCCAGCGGAGTTGATGACGGAGGATCATTGCTTCAATGTTGGTGGTCTTTGCTTCTTCCAGCACGCTGACATTTGTCCACTTGTCTTCCCAAGAGATCTGCAGGATTTTCTGGAGGCAGCGCAATGCCAAGTTTTTAACCTTGTTTTGTGGGGTTTTAAATACATTTTAGCTGTATAGAATCATAGAATCACAGAGTTGGAAGAGACCTCATGGGCCATCCAGTCCAACCCCTTGCCAAGAAGCAGGAAAATCGCATTCAAAGCACCCCTGATAGATGGCCATCGAGCCTCTGTTTAAAAGCTTCCAAAGAAGGAGCCTCCACCACACTCCGGGGCAGAGAGTTCCACTGCTGAACAGCTCTCACAGTCAGGAAGTTCTTCCTAATGTTCAGATGGAATCTCCTTTCTTGTAGTTTGAAGCCATTGTTCTGCGTCCTAATCTCCAGGGAAGCAGAAAACAAGCTTGCTCCCTCCTCCCTATGACTTCGTCTCATGTATTTATACATGGCTATCATGTCTACTAGAGACAAAGTTGAAGTACTTTGGCCACATCATGAGGAGACAGCAAAGCCTAGAGAAGACAATTATGCTGGGGAAAGTGGAAGTCAAGAAGAGGGGCCGACCAAGGGCAAGATGGATGGATGGCATCCTTGAAGTGACTGGACTGACCTTGAAGGAGCTGGGGGTGGTGACGGCCGACAGGGAGCTCTGGCGTGGGCTGGTCCATGAGGTCACGAAGAGTCGGAGATGACTGAATGAATGAACAACAATCATGTCTCCGGGTTGTTGTAGGTTTTTCCGGGCTATATGGCCATGTTCTGGAGGCAATTTTTCTCCTGACATTTCGCCTGCATCTATGGCAAGCATCCTCAGAGGATGCTTGCCATAGATGCAGGCGAAACGTCAGGAGAAAAATTGCCTCCAGAACATGGCCATATAGCCCGGAAAAACCTACAACAACCCAGTGATTCCGGCCATGAAAGCCTTTGACAATACATTGAATCATGTCTCCTACCAGCGTTCTCTTCTTCAGGCTAGACATGCCCAGCTCTTTAAGCAGCTCCTCATAGGGCTTGTTCTCCAGACCCGATCATTTTAGTCGGAGCCCCCGGTGGCGCAGTGGGTTAAACCCCTGTGCCGGCAGGACTGAAGACCGACAGGTCACAGGTTCGAATCCGGGGAGAGGCGGATGAGCTCCCTCTATCAGCTCCAGCTCCTCATGCGGGGACATGAGAGAAGCCTCCCACAAGGATGATAAAACATCAAAATCATCCGGGCGTCCCCTGGGCAACATTCTTGCAGACGGCCAATTCTCTCACACCAGAAGCGACTTGCAGTTTCTCAGGTCGTTCCTGACGTGACAAAAAAAACAACAACACCATTTTAGTCGCCCTCCTCTGGACACTTTCCAGTTTGTCAATATTCTCAGTTTGCTTCTGACACGACAATTAATAAATTATTATGAAAGGTTTGGTTGGGTTAACTGAAATACTATTGTGTTTGGCAACCACAGGTGGCTTTGGCCCTCTAGTTAAGGCAATCCTTAACACAAACAACACAACAGGAGGTAGATTGATGGGCTCCAGGCCAGAGTCTCTTTGGGACCAAAGACCTTGTTTGAGTTAGATAACAACAGGGCCAGGGCTAGGGTGGGCTGAGCTTAGTATCCCATTCATCTCGTGGAAATAGATGTGGGTTTTGTTGACTTTGGCTTGGAAAGGAAGTGAGCTTCCCCTCTCCCAAACAAAGGGAGGGTTTTTGGCAAGTAGAGAGCAGCCTCTCTCCTTCTTGATTTGTTGCCCCCCGCTTGCCTTCAAAGTATGTCGAGAATTCCCTTTCTGTTTAGGAAAGGAAATCTGACCCCGACAGCTTTGGCCACTTGAGAGAGAGAGAGAGAGAGAGACCTGGGGACCCCCCCCCCCCTTCCGCATGCCTACAGTGCCTCCTCCTCCTCCTCCTCCCCGCCCGGCTTCGCCTCTGCAGCGCTTGCTTGGGAGCGAATAGACCTGACACGGCTTCAGCGTTTCCTCCACGGGACTCTCCCTTCCGACGAGCTGATGGACAGACCCCGCCGGATCCGCTTCCTCCAGCTTCTTCTGCCTTTGCTGGCTCTGCTGCATCTGCACGCCGGGCAAGGTAAGGCAAGGAACAGCCTCCCTTTCTTCTCCCACAGGCTGGAAGCACATGACATCTCAGGGAAATGGGCCTGAGCTGGACTTGGAGACTACACCCCAGGGGTCACTTTACCCCTACCATCCCACAATCGAGCAAGGTAGTTGCTTCTATGTATTGTCGAAGGCTTTCATGGCCGGAATCACTGGGTTGTTGTAGGTTTTTCCGGACTATATGGCCATGTTCTTGAGGCATTTTCTCCTGACGTTTCGCCTGCATCTATGGCAAGCATCCTCAGAGGTAGTGAGGTCTGTTGGAAGTAGGAAAAATGGGTTTATATATCTGTGGAATGACCAGGGTGGGACAAAGGACTTTTGTCTGCTGGAGCTAGGTGTGAATGTTTCAACTGACCACCTTGATTAGCATTTAATGGCTTGGAAGTGCCTGGGGGAATCTTTTGTTGCGAGGTGATTTGATGTGCCTGATTGTTTGCTCTCTGTTGTTTTGCTGTTGTAATTTTAGAGTTTTTTTTAATACTGGTAGCCAGATTTTGTTCATTTTCATGGTTTCTTCCCTTTTGTTGAAACTGTCCACATGCTTGTGGATTTCAATGGCTTCTCTGTGTAGTCTGACATGGTGGTTGTGAGAGTGATCCAGCATTTCTGTGTTCTCAAATAAGTTAGCCATAGCAGAGCACCTGATGAACCAACCTGGACACAGCATTTTATTTGAAAATGAACAAAATCTGGCTACCAGTATTAAAAAAACTCTAAAATTACAACAGCAAAACAACAGAGAGTAAACAATCAGGCACATCAAATCACCTCTCAACAAAAGATTCCCCCAGGCACTTCCAAGCCATTAAATGCTAATCAAGGTGGTCAGTTGAAACATTCACACCTAGCTCCAGCAGACAAAAGTCCTTTGTCCCACCCTGGTCATTCCACAGATATATAAACTCATTTTCCTACTTCCAACAGACCTCACTACCTCTGAGGATGCTTGCCATAGATGCAGGCGAAACGTCAGGAGAAAATGCCTCAAGAACATGGCCATATAGCCCGGAAAAACTTACAACAACCCAGTTGTTGCTTCTGCCTGTGACCTTTTGGAAATGGGAGCTCCTCTCCAATGCCACCTTTCTTGCTAGAGACCCTGCATTAGTCTGAATCTTAGAGGTGGATGTGGGCTTACTCAGAGTTGGAAGAGACTGCATGATGAACCATCTAGTCTAGTGATTTCATTCACTGGACCAAATTTGGCAGAAATACCTGATACGCTCAAATCTGAATACTGGTGGTGTTGGGGAGTTTGATTTTGTCATTTGGGAGTTGTAGTTGCTGGGATTTATAGTTCACCTACAATCAAAGGGCACACAGAACTCCCACAACCAACAGAAAATACTGTAAGGATTTGGTGGGCATTGGAGTAGTAGTTCACCTACGTCCAGAGAGCACTGTGGACTCAAGCAATGATGGATCTGGACAGAGGCGGCCCTAGGTAATTTTCAACGGTAAGCAAACAGTATTTTGGCACCCCCCCCCCAACCAATCATTGATATATATTTTCTGTTTGTCGTGGGAGTTCTGTGTGCCATATTTGGTTCAATTCCATCATTGGTGGAGTTCAGAATGCTCTTTGATTGTAGGTGAACTATACATCCCAGTAACTACACTTGCCGCACTTGCTCCCTTGCCTTGCCCGCTTTGGGTCCGGAGGCGTGCCTGAAGACCCCGGCGTGTGCACCAAAAGTCACCTCTTCTCCTGACTTTCTCCTCAGCCATTGGGACCAAGAGAGAGAGAGAGAGAGAGAGAGAGAGAGGTGGAGATGCCCACCTTTCCTGAAGGTAGGCGCAAAAACAAAGGAGGGAGCGGAGGTGGGAGATACCTCCAGCCGGAGGGGCTCTCTCTCTCTTGGTCCCAATGGCTGAAGAGAAAGTCAGGAGAAGAGGCGACTTTTGGTGCACACGCTGGGGTCTTCAGACATGCCTCTGGACCTGAAGCAAGCCAGGCGCGGCGGCTCCACCACTTGGCCCACCCGCGGATTGGGGAGAGGAGAGCGCCGGGGGATCAGGAAAGGGAGCCGGTCATGAGGAAGGGATCGAACGCGGAGAACGATTGAGCGCCGGCTCTGCTCGTGCACCCAGTGGCCAGGTGGAGCAGGAACGAGAGGGGTAGGCGAGGCTCAAGGGCCCGGCCCCTTTGGGAAGAGGATCGCCCGGCAGTGAGGCAAGAAAGCCGAGGCTCCCCCCGGACTGCTAGGGCTGTTGTGAGCTGAGGGGGCGCTCCTCAAGTGGCGGTCGAGGGGCATTTACAGAGGCGCCTCTGCGCCCCTGGCAAAAAAAAGTGTTCTGCGACCGCTTACTTCACATAATGGACGATCCGCCCCTGGATCTGAACCAAACTTTGCTTGAATCTATATAAATAAAAATGTAATGTTCGTTTGTGGGATTAATAGAACTCAAAAACCACTGAGCGAATTGACACCAAATTTGGACACAAGACACCTAACAACCCAATGTATGTCCTTCACTCAAAAACATTTATTTTGTCATTTGGGAGTTGTAGTTGCTGGGATTTATAGTTCACCTACAATCAAAGAGCAGTCTAAACTCCACCAACGATTGAATTGAACCAAACTTGGCACACAGTTCTCCCATGACCAACAGAAAATACTGGAAGGGTTTGGTGGGAAGTGTCCTTTGGTTTTGGAGTTGTAGTTCACCAACATCCAGAGATCACTGTGGACTCAAACAATGATGGATCTGGACCAAACTCTACAGGAATACTCAATATGCCCAAATGTGAACACTGGTGGAGTTTGGGGAAAATAGAATCTTGACATTTGGGAGTTGTAGTTACTGGGATTTATAGTTCACCTACAATCAAAGAGCATTCTGAACCCCACAAATGACAGAATCTGGGCAAACTTCCCACACAGAACCCCCATGACCAACAGAAAATACTTAAGGCCATCCAGTCCAACTCTCTTCCCCAGGACAAGAAAATCTAATCAACACCCTCCTGACAAAGAGCCATCCAGTCATAAATATAGATAGATATATATTCACACACAGAGAGATATAATATCATAAATTTGAAAGGGACCCCTAAAGAAGGACAATGATATGCTGCATATTCCAGAGTAGGCAAACTATACACTCTCCACATCAACATTGACAAAGAAACAACAAGAAATACTGTTTACCCACAAGCATAAAGAAATTACATATATTAGAAACCATTACTTTATTTTCCAGATCACCAGACTGGGCCACAGCAACGCGTGGCAGGGGACAGCCAATATACTATAAATTGAGAAGCTTAACCATATTGTACATATCAGCATAAAACAACATATGCATTAAAACTGCATCATTAAAATATATCAGTTAAAACAGTTATTTCAAATCACACAATCCAGGAGCATAAGTTAGCCATTCCAATTGTCCTGTGTAATTGTTCATTATTGCACGGAGATATCAATTCTTGCATTATCACTGTGCAAAAGCTTGGTCCTACAACCAGGATTTAACTTTCTTCCTGAAGGACAGGAAGTTCTTCCTAATGTTCAACAGCAGAGCATGGATCCACTTTAAATCCAGATTCTGCTTCCTGCAGAATTCTGAGGTTTGTAGTTCAGCAAGGCTCGGGTCCTCCTCTGGCTGAACAGGTTAAAGGTCCCTCCCTAAACTATAATAATAATACTTTATTTGTATCCTGCTCTATCTCCCCGAGGGGAATCAGAGAGGCTTCCAACATAATAACAGGTAAACATTCAATGCCTATATAAACAAAGGACTAAAAAATTAGACAAATTTTTGCTTTTGCTAGCTTTGCTGCATCTGCACTCCGGGCAAGGTAAGGCAACACTCCTACAAGCCCCAGAATTCCGATGTAGACAGAAACTGGATTTAAAGTGGATCCATGCTCTAGTATTTATGTATTGTGTCAGGAGCAAGCCAAACAGTTGTATTGCATTTTTAACAAACAAACAAACAAACAAAACACAAAGTTTGCAAGCTTGGAAGTTGATTAAATGTCTTTTGACCAGTATCTGGCCACTTGGAGTGCCTCTGGTGTTGCCGCAAGAAGGTCCTCCATTGTGCATGTAGCAGGGCTCAGGTTACATTGCAGCAGGTGGTCTGTAGTTTGCTCTTCTCCACACTCGCATGTCGTGGATTCCACTTTGTGGCCCCATTTCTTGAGATTGGCTCTGCATCTCGTGGTGCCAGAGCGCAGTCTGTTCAGCGCCTTCCAAGTCGCCCAGTTTTCTGTGTGCCCAGGGGGGAGTCTCTGGGTTTGAGCCTGCCACTTTTGGACTCTCGCTTGCTGAGGTGTTCCAGCGAGTGTCTCTGTAGATTTTAGAAAACGATTTCTTGATTTAAGTCATTGACGTGCTGAATGATACCCAAACAAAGGATGAGCTGGAGATGTCACTGCCTTGGTTCTTTCACTATTGGCTGCTACTTCCCAGCAAATGTCAGGTGGTGCAGTACTGGCTAAATAGTGTAATTTCTCCAGTTGTGTAGGGCGCAGACACCCCGTGATAATGTGGCATGTTTCATTAAGAGCCACATCCACTGTTTTAGCGTGGTGTTCCACACTGGGCATGCGTACTCAGCAGCAGAGTAGCAAAGCGCAAGGGCAGATGTCTTCATTGTTTCTGGTTGTGATCCCCAGGTTGTGCCAGTCAGCTTTCATATGATATTGTTTCTAGTGCCCACTTTTTGCTTGATACTCAGGCAGTGCTTCTTGTAGGTCAGAGCACGGTCCAGAGTAACTTTAGTGTGCTCTGTAGTGTGATGAGGCGACAAGTGGTATCTCCTTTCCTGTCATTTGAAGTTTCCAGGGAAGAAGACAAGCTTGCTCTCTCTTCCTTACGATATCTTTTCAAATATTTAAACATGTCTTCTCTCAACTTTCTCTTCTATGGGCTGAACAGACTCAGCTCTTTAAGACGCTCCTCAGAAGGCATGGTCTCCAGACCTTTGTTCATTTTGGTCACCCTCCTCTGGACATCT